AAAAAAACGCAACTTTGATACGTTTAGAGCCTTTGGGACACCCTGTACATCACAAAAATATTTTGAAAAAGTGCGCTCGGCAGGCGTCGGACAATTCATAAAATAATACTTTTCAAACTTCCGTGCCGTAAAGCGTGAATAACCCTGTACAGCTTTTGCACATAATCAGATTCAAATTTCTGAAAACTTACTTGGGCGTCAATTTCGTTTTGGTTCTCTTTGTGATGGTGGCTGATCAAGGGGGCCGCCCCAGTCAATCCGACGGCGACGTTGTTCAAATTTTGGACGCATCGTTCCACCGCGACGCTGTCGCCCATCTGAACCATAGCGGTGCCTTCTTTGGACTTCAGGAACTTTATCTGCAACAAATCCACTGTGTACATCCGCCATCAACAAAGCCCTTAAAAAACTACTTTGGGCCATTTTAAAAGACACGACGAAATACTTGTACTAAGAGTACCGCTAAGTCGCCTAAGCCCCGACAAAGTTAATTATGGTAAAACTCGCCAAGTGAAGAGAGATTGCGTTCTTCGCCCCATCCGTCACAACAGGTAGTAAAACATAAGTTTCCCGACGATTCATCTCATTTACTTAACCCACTTTGGCCCATTGCGAAAGTACAAAAGGCAATTTCCAGTCGGCGAAATGCCAGTCTCGATAGATTGCATTATCCCAGAAAGGTCTTTTACAGCGAAACTCGATGTTATCCAACGAGTTTCTTATTGATCTTCCCGGCTTCCTTTGTTTACACTGAACTGGTGCAGGAAAAGAGCATACAAGAGGCAATTTTTTTCAAGCAGAAAACGCCCGTTTCTACTTTCGAAACAATGTCGCCGATCGGCTCCGGTCAGTTTCATACATTGTCATGGAGGAACGGTTTCTTTGTGCGAAAATTGAGCGGTTTTGAGGAAAAGTTGGCGCTATTTTCAGTTTCCCATTGAATCCGACTTTCTACCAAGCGAATGGGGAAAATTGGATTGCTTCGCCGCGCCAGTTAAAACAAATAATTTTGCGCAACCATCGTTGACCAGAAACTCTTCAAGTAATCTCATAGGCATGCGAAAACAATCTTCAAGCCTAAACTGAACAGCATTTGGGCTTACCCGAGCGACATTTCCGTACAAACACATCAAATTGAACAGTTTGTCGGCGTTGGTTCGGATCGGATCCAAGCCGTAGACCATGAGAACAGCGCCGGGCTGTTGGAACGGATTGGGTCGTTGTGGCTCCCCGGCCGCCCTAAAATCTGGGGTGGCTGTAGGGGCAGGGGCGG